GCCAATTGATGTTAAGTGTAACGAAATCGACATAGTGTCTTCCCTAAGTTTTAAACATCACAAAGCCCCCACCCTCCTCCTCCACTCGTCAATCAGTTGCTAGGCATGCCAAAGGTGGCACAATGCGGCTTCTTTAACATATGGTCTCCATCTAGGGACCTGGGTTCACGTGGGCCATCTCTGTCATCAAGTGCACGATATGTTTCCCAACAATCCTTTGTGTATTGTTGTTAAGTTGAGGCAAAGAAACCTGTGAACCACCATGTAAGTAACTTGAAGATGAAAGTGGCTATTGCAATTGTCATGGCCATCAATGATGTTGTTGCCAGCTCTTGGCAACAAAATTTTCACCGGCATTTGGATGAAAGTTGCCCGTCATTCACTTGGGGTACAATGACAACGCCACCTTGTGAGCTTGCATCGGCAATAGTGCATATGTGCATATGCAAAGGGAAGCGCGGTGGCCTTTCAGGACATAGGCCCACAAGACAATGACCAAGATCGAGCCGTACACCATGTCCAGTTGCTCTCACAGCATATGTACGGTCGGCACAATAGGTGTTAGTAAAGTAACCACATGCTTAGTCTCCGGCATCTCCACGTCGGCACCCACCGTCCCATTCGCCTAGGGCACTGCGTGACCCGCACAGTGGTGGTCCTGAAGTTGCCATGAGATTCGTTGCCGCGCCCCGCACTGGCGAAGCGACCCTGGGTTCGGGGTCGACCGCCACGGAGGAGCAGAAATGTTCGAGGCGCAAGCGGCATACTACTTGAACAAGTACTTGGGGCAGTACGTCGATGGCGTGGACTCCAAGTCCCTCCGCATTTCCGTGTGGGAGGGCAACGTGGTGCTGGAGAACCTGCGCGTCAGGCCAGAGGCCCTCGAAGACCTCAAACTGCCCATCACCGTCAAGGCCGGGATGTTGGGAACGCTGACCCTGAAGGTACCCCGAAAAGAACACCATGACGCGGGCGTCGGGTAGCCCAGTCGGTCTGATGACGCTTGAGCGCCTTCACGCTTCGCGATTGCAGTCTGCTGTAAACGCCTGATCATGTGCTGTGCATCGATGTGTTTGGCGGTGCATGTGACGGAGATGATAGGGTGTTGATTGCAGGCAGTATTAGTCCCACAGCCCTTGCACGTCCGTGGGTTGAACTATCGGCCTCATTTCGAATGCCTTCTCAGCCAAGGATCTGCGGACCATCATGAATTATGCAGAAAATCCGAAGCTGCTTTGCCTGCGTAAAGGCTTCCAACCTTGGTCCCAACCTCGCTCAACCAACAAGCTTGTAATTGTGAAAGTTGGCAGCTGTCAATCAGCCTTTGTCTTCCCTGGGCAGGTTCCGTGGGCAACTCTGGGGAAAGAGCCTGTTGTGGTGGAGATAGACAAGCTCTACATACTGGCAGCACCTTTTGAGGAACAGAAGAATTTTGAATCAGAAGAGGTGGGATTGGAGAATCTGCAAGGCGGCTATGACACCATCTATGTTTGCTCCGAAACCCTGCTGCTGCCAGTGCATTATTGTGGCTCCAATGTTGAACAAAACCAAGCTCACCATCTTAATGGCCGGATACTGCACCTTCAATTTATACATCAATATTTAGTCCAACACTCTTTGATAAGGAGAGTGCCTGTTATTCCGTATCTTGTTGTGCTGCAATCCTTGACAGTTGCACGTGCGATGATGAACAGGAAGTGCAGCAATTTGCAGACACCATGGAGAAGATGGAGAGGGCTGCAAAGCGGCAACGAGTCGAAACTGCAGAGCTGGATTTCATCGAGGTATTCAGACCAATGCCCGTTGCGAGCTGTCTGCTTGCTTATTTGAGGTGCTGTTTGACTTTAAATTGGCCGCAGGACTGGGGCATTCCAACTCTGTGAAACAACATGCACGTTGGGGTATGATAGTTCCACAACAGGCAGGCCCATCCTCACCATCAACAGCACGGAATGTTCTTTGCTTCCCTGAGGAGCCCTGGATCCAAGTGCTGTCCATGAAATTTAACAGAACTACAGCAAGCGTAGATAGCTGACTGTGGTATTTATACCTCCTCACTGCCAGTACAAAACTTTTGGTTGCTGCAAATCAACAGCAACTTGCGGCTGTTTCAATTATGTTGCTGTGGCAGAAACTCAACAAGAAGTCACAAAAGGGAGCAGCAAGCACCCCTGCTGGTGGCGATGAAGGCGGCTTTCTGCAGTCCTACATCGAGACCATTATCGCAAACCTGGAGCTGAGAATCACCAATGTGCATGTTCGATATGAGGTGTGGTGCAGTGTTGCCAACACTGGAGAATTCTCTTCAGGTTCTAGTGAATTGTTGTTTTGTGGAAGCAGGCATGCGCCTTTTCAAAGTGTAGATTTTTGCCTTCCAAGTTAACAACTACCGTGCATCCAATTCAAATATCGGGTTCCAGTGTGGACGATGACTCTCAGCTCATCTGTGTTACGACAGGATGATCAAACAAGTCCTGGCCAGAGATTTGCTGTTGGCTTCACCCTGGGAGAACTCAGTGCCCACACTGTTGATGACAAGGGCAACAGGGCGTTTATCACTGCACAGGAGATGAAGCAAGTCAGAAAGGTGAACAGGTGTTTGTCACCTCAGCCGGCAGGCCACATTTGCATCATCGCAGTATTGTTTCTGCTGTAGAAACCAAATTCCTGGCAAGACACTCTCCTCGACCTACCCTTGCCTGTTATTGTATTTCGGTAGCTGAAATCTTGCACATTCTGTGGCATGTGCCAGGCTGTGAATCTCCGGCGGCTGGCTGTGTACTTTGACGTCTCAAACAAGTTGTGGCATGATCAGCATGATTGGTCACAGCTGCCAAAGGCAGCGTGGGACACATCATTCTTGCAGTTGATTCACAACGAGATTGATGCAGAGGCCAGCCAGTCATTCTTGCTGAGGCCAGTAGATGGATCTATGAAGTACAGGAGAAGAATGAAGAAGGGTGGAGGTGTGGATGAGTTCAAGCAGGAGATTGACCTCAGGCTGCAGGAGATTGCTGTGCATGTGTCACGAGGACAGTATGAGCATGTTCAGAATCTGCTGACGGTATTCAACCTGTACGAGGTGGGTGTAACCAATTTTCTTATCAAGGAAGAATGTGAGGGACTAGGCTATGGCACCTCTACGCTTTGTTCTCACAGCAATAGACCTGGTTCTTTGCGAGAGCCACAGCATACAATTGTTCCTCGGCCACTAAGAGCAAGTCGATGGCTTGCTCGTGACTGCTTTGACACATTCACAGGAATTTGCATATGGCTGCTGTAACAGTTGGACTAGATCGAGACTGTTGTGATCTGGTATGTGTGCACAGAAGGAAACAATAACATGTGATCAACAGCGTTGTGAATTTGATGGTCATGGACAAGGATATGTGAATAGCACAGCTGTGCAAGCCAATGGACTCTAACTTTGCCACAGACACGTGTTGACAGAAAATTGTTGTGCTTGTGGTGTCTCCTACCAGCTCAGCTTCCCTCACCGGCATTTGCGGCCTCCTTGCCGCCCTGTGAATTCTGTTGGGGCACGTCTTTGGTGGACTTATGCCTGCAACGCTGTCAAGCACAGGATGCTGGGCAACGAGTTCCCACTACACAAGTTGAAGCAGATTTGTGAGATGCGAAGAAAGTATGTAAAGCGCTATGTTCAGTGTTTAACGGATGCCAACATTGGGGTGGGGGGTGACGACGCAATTGCTGCTATGGATGGCGAGCTACCCGAATGTACAATACTAGTTTTCAGGTGAGGTAGGTGTGTCTGACTCCTGCTGGCCGCATTCCTTGCCAGAAAGAAACCGCAAGCAGGAAAGCTGCCCAAGGCACTACCGACAGCAAGCCCCATGGTTGCCAGTTCTGAACCATTGCCAACATCTGCATGCAGCGTTTTGTGTTGGTTCATTGCTTTGCTTGTGTGGTGCAGAATCGTCCTGCTTTGGGACATGTTGGATCTGTCTGAAGGTCCTTTGATGCATCACCTTCTGCCTTCTTCCACTCCTGGAAACAAATTGTTGTTTCAACCTGGCAGAGCTATGTATTTGGAGCTCAGGTTATAAAATTGAATAGCAAGTAGTTTCTGACAGATCATGTGTTATTGAGATGTGACAAGACATGTGTTGCAGGCAGATGGCCCACGTCAAGGTTGACCATGAAAACAGGAAAGCATTAGCAGAAGAAGCCACAGCAAAGGCGGCTCTGACTCAGAGCACAGGGTGGCTGGAGTGGGTGTGGGGTCCTGCTAATACTCAGGTTCAGGGACAGCCAGGAGATGAAGGGGAGAGTCAGCCAGAACCAGGGGAAAAAGATGAGGGAGAGGATCTGTCGGTTGCACCTGAGGAATGGCAGAAGTTTCATGAATTAATGGCTGTGGAGGCAAGTAATTCTATGGTTAATGGCTGTAAGTCATTGATTGTCAGTTCCAGAGGTATCAGCAATCAACTTTGCTGGTTAGGCTCTTCCCAGGATGTTCAACCACTAATTGCTGTTTGGATTTGTGTGCAACAGATTGATGATGGCCCAGCTGACTCTGCTGATACCTTCAATACCCTGTTCACCGTGCGTGTGAATTCAGCAGCCATGATCCTGGAGGATGAATCAGGGCAGACAGTTTTGGAAGGGGTGCTAAAGGGCACCACAGCTGTGTCCAAGATGTATGCTCAGAACAGCAGCCTTCAGCTAACTGTCATGTCGGTGAGTCGGTGCCATCCAACAGCGTCAGATGTGCTGTTGTGCTGGACACTGTGATCACGTGTTCTATCGCAGGGCAGCCACACATCATCAATTATACCTGATAGCGAACTATTGGTTTGAACGAACAAGCAAACTTTGAGCCCTTTTTGCTTTACACATAGTTTGTCCTGGCTGTTTTGCAGACTGGGCTGTTATGTGCTGATGGCGTGCTGTTAAGCACTGGAATCGAGCAAATCATTGCGGAAGAGCCCAATGACGCAACCATGGACTCAGTTTCACAGGCGTTGAAAATACTATACACCAAAACACCACAGGACAAGGGTGTGAGTGCTGCATTGAAAGTCCAGTTGGGAGGCAGCTATGTGACGTACCGTGACACAGCAGTCAGGAAAGTGTTGAAATTTTTCAGGCCAGTGGCATCAGCCGACATCTCAGTCCTTCAGGCTCAGGCTGCTGCTGGAGTAAAGAAAGCGACACAATTGGCAGGAGAGCAAATTGTTGCAGCACTAAATGAGACACCCATGTTCGAGATTGATTTGTGCATGGATGCCCCAAAGATTGCGATCCCTGTTCAGGGTCACGATGACAACAAAGCGATGGTCACCCTCATTGCTGACCTTGGCAGCTTTGGGCTGATGACACATCAGTCTGGATTTCAAAATCTTCCTCCTGAGCATGCAGGAAAGTATGAGTGCCTCAAGGTGAGTCTTGGTGCAAATTGTGTGTTATGGGAATGAAAGTATTCACTATCAGACTTGGGTTCTAATGGTGTTGAGATAATTCAAGCTGGGATTGTGCGATGGCAGTTGAGGATTCTTTGCTAACCATGTGGCATTTTCTCACAGTGCTGTAGCAGTCTCTAGTACCAGGACAGTGGATGTTGCTTACCCAGGGAATGTTCAGATGCTTGACTACTAGTATGTGGCTGGAGTTGCTGAGCAACTAGCTGCAACGCAGGCAGACATGCAGGATGTTGCCCTATACCTTGTTGAAGGTAAATTTCAGTGGCCAGAACTCCACAACGGTGGCTTGGAGAGGCAAGTGTCTGCACAGCTGCGTGATTTCCTGGGCCATGCGGCGAAGGTCGTCCCTGTCCTGGAGCCCTTTGCATTGCAATCGGATGTGCAACTGACCCGTGGATGGCAGCCAGGGTATGTGCCCAACTGTTGTCAGTTGACTGGTCACATTGTAGTTTTGCATTGTTTGTTTCCTAGTGGCAATTGTAAAAGATGATTGGAGCAAGGATGTTGTATCAAGTTTACGTGGGTATCGATGGCATGCTGGGCTGCCACCTCTGGAGTAGGTTCAGCAGTGGAGGAAACTTCTCTGGTTCTGTATCTGGATTTGCATTCCATGATTTTTGCCAATTCCTTTGCCTGAATGGTGGCTGTATTTGCAGGCTTGTGCCTGTGAGACTCGATCTGAACGTGGCGTCCTTCCATCTGCACTTCAGCCCTACAAGATACGCCCGCATCATGACAATTGTGAATTCTTTATTTGATTTGTCTGCAGCTGCATCCAGTTCTCAGTCAGTTTGGACCCATTCCGATGCATCTTCGATGCATGGTGGTGTCAGTGTGTTGGCATGGGAGGGACTTGGTGGGAGAACCCCTGTTTGGCGGAAACGTTATGCCACTGTGCATGGAGGCAATTTGTACGTAAGCGAGAGTGAGATCGCGTTGGATATTGTGAAGTCTGTGTGGCTTCTTGGGGACATATATGTCTCTGCTGTTCCCCCATCGCTTGTTTGGGGAAAGAGGAATGTTGTGGCGATTGTTCCTCTTAGTGTGGACTTGAAGAGTGGTGTCGAGATGGCAACATCGACCGTCCTGCATCTGGACAGTGAGGAGAAGGCCCAGAACTGGAGAATGGCCTTGATCCAAGAGAAGGAACGGATGGCAGCTGCAACAGGGATAGTTGAGGCTCCCACAGGTAGATGTTGGCTATTGGCATTTGCACACAGTGGATATCCTCACGATCGTGGGTTGTACATCAAAATATCGACCATAAGTCTGCACAGGAATTGCACAGCGCATTTGCAATCGGGGAGCATCACACTCAGTACTCTGGATGTCAGTCATCCCACTGCATTAGAGACGTGTGTGTTTTGTTGACAGCCAGTGATTGCACGTCCAATGCCCTCTCTCTGCTGTTCGTGCGGCTCCTATCCCCCCCAAATTCAACAGCTGAGGATTTCTTGAGTGTGTTTGCAACAAATGTTCAGCCACTCAATAGACTTCCCTGCCATGTTGCAGTTGACACCGCGTTTTTGTCTTCTCTCGTTTCGGAAGAGCTTCCAGAGACATCACAAATATCAACTCCTGTATATCTGGAGGTAACAGGCAATGTTGCAGAGCTGGCAGTGACGATTCTTGGAAGACCCCCTAAAGATTTGGGAGACCCCGATGGATCTTCAATGTCAATAGGTACTTGCGTTGTTTTAATCTGAGTGGCATGGGCACATTGTTGCATGTATCTTCTTGTTTTGAGGGTCCAAAGACCCTACTGCAGCCTGGAAAGTTGTATGGTGCAGTGACAGAAGTGCAAACTGTGTGCTTGAACATCTTGAATGTGTGCTGGAATGCTGCAATTCGCCATGTCAGGCTGCAGTATGACATTCATGCTTCTGCTCCCAGGCCTTTGTTATACGTTCTCTCAGCACTGTTTATTCTGTATTGTTCCAATCTCAAAGCAAGAACTTCTGACTGTGGTGGTTGTGAGCCAACTCCAAATGTCTGGCTGCAGCTGAGGACGACGCCGGGTCAGTCACACTCTCAGATTTGAATGCTGGCCTGAACATGGACAACGAAGTGCCCTTGATTGTGTTTCGGGAAGAAAATGGCCATGTGGATCTGACAGTAGGAGAGTTTGGCTTACAAGCTGACTTGCAAGTGCAGAGTTGTGAGCTTGAAGACGTGCTCATCAGCAAACCATCAGGGATCAAACGATACCTGGCTCGATCCACTGTGGCTAGCAACCTTGGTGGGTGGTTTGCACAGTTTGTGCTCTTATTTGATGGGGATGCAGTACAATGTGCTTCTTGGTGTGGTATTCTGTTCTCTATTCTGTGAATCTGTGCAATTTGTCCCATCCTACGGAAGTAATTGTTCTCTGTGCTTCTACCATGACACTTTATGTGCCCATGTTCGACAAACTCATCATACACCCAAGCCCTGGTCTGGGCTTATTAGAATGTGGAGGATTGCATGTTTGTGGTGAATTCAACTCTGATGTCCTTGGGTATTGACCTGGTTATGCAAGAGCATAGGGCTGATGTGTATCATGAAACGATGAGGAGTGTGTTTCCAAGCAGAGGATGTCGCAATAAGCAACAGAGGCGACAATGGTGTGCTGGAGAGTAAAGATAACTATGTGAGCCTTCACTTTGTCACTTGGAGCCCATCCAGCAAGGAGTACCAGGGTGTGGACATGGAACTTAAGGTGGAGTTTGCATCCATCCTGTGGGAATGCCATCGACCAACAATCGCAGCGCTCATATCCTTCGGGCTCGATGTGACGTTGGCGATGGAGGAGGTGGCTGCAGAAGAGGCAGCAAAGGTGAACTGCATCTGTCAAACCCCAGCAAGATTCTACTGTTTGCCACTGTTGCTCCTAGTACTGATTGGCCTGTGCAATCTTGTCATCTGCAGGCATCGCAGCCTGGCGACCTAGGTCCTTCCCCTTCTTGGGCATGCTCAGAGTCCAGCACCCAATTCCTTTGGGAAGACCCCGAGCGCACCCTGTTCCGGTTGTCTCTGGTAATGGAGGAGGTTCGGCTTGACTTGAATTATGAGGATGCACCAGACTGCCACCTGGCCTCAGGCATCTTTCAAAACTTTACCTTTGACTTGGATGTCAATCCGGCCAACATAGAGCTGAAGTCTGCGCTTGGAAACGCTAAAATTTTTGACAAGACTCTGCCAGAGGACCATCCATATCAACAGATATGTGGCCTGAGGGCTGACACCACTGCATCGCTCATTGAAGTTGAATTCTCTTCACACACGCCTACAGAGTCCATCTATGAGGACCGTGTGCCGACGGGTTCCTATTTCTACACATTCCGAGCTGAGATATCCGCCGTTGACGTGGTGTTCTACTACCGCTTCATCAACGAGTTCCTTGTGTATCTGTGGGGTGAGCTGCAATAATCTACAGTGTGTATGGTCCATGAGATGCTCTGACAGTGCCAACAGAAGCAGCAAATCCTTACATTAGTGGTATGCAACAATTGTGTTTTAATGAGTTTTGGCACAATGCATGCATTTCTTTCTCAATGGCTAACAGACAGTGATGACAGCTTGAAGTAATTGGCACCTGACAAATGCAGTTGAGGAGATGTGGTTGAAATTTTGCTCAGCAGCCCACCAGATAACTGAAGGACGAATCATAAGCAGTATTGCCATTTTGGTTGCATGTTTGGGTGCAAGACTTCTGTCTCTAGCAGTCCTTGTTAGTTCGTATGTTTGGGTGCAAGACTTCTGTCTCTAGCAGTCCTTGTTAGTTCGTTGAGAATTTGACCCATTGGCCAATTTGGCCCAAATGTGTTGATATGAGTGCTAATTCTGCGCTGTGTCACACCATCATGCTGATCTTGCCACTTATGGCGTGGGTCCATACCTTTTCCTGTCTCTGGTAGATTGGCAGGTGCCCCAACACTGTAGCTGTGCACTCAGTTGACCAATGCTGCTTTGTGAATTTTCTTATTGGGCACTCACTGTGGAGCACAGCCATTGGCAGGGATTTGCTGTGTTATATGTGTGTTAGAAAGAAATTTTCAACCCAGGAAACAGGTCACACATTGAATAACCTCTCCCTACAGCTGTACGCCAGGTCCTCTTATGGTTCACAGTTGGGTTCACCAGCCAGGCATATCAATGAATGAAGCAGCGGTTGCAAATGCGACAATCTTGATCTCTTGGAATGTCTGTATGAATGCCATGAGAGCTCATCGCTGTATGTGTGGTGGTGTTTTCTGCCAGTAACATTTGCCCTCGAGCCCCCTGAGTTGATGAGCAAGCCTGCAGACATGCCTCAAGGTGTTGTTGCTGCTGCACTGAAGGCAGCAGGAGTAGAAGAGCATCTGGGAGGGATGGTCCTTTTGGACATTGAGCTTGCCGCCCCCGTTGTTCGACTACCCCCAAACTCTGACAGTGAAGAATGCATCTTTGCAGACCTTGGGCAGGCCGAGGTAATGTTTATCTGCAAAATGATTACCATAACACTGTTTACATTGGCAGGGAAGGCAAGGTGGTGCCAACTTGTTGTTGGCAAGCTTTTTTTTCTTTCTTTGCATGTCATATTTCATGGCCACAGATGCACCAGCACGGACAAGGATGAATGGAGTTGAATGTGTTGCTGTCCAGTGGCTTGCTGGAAGTCCATGCCTCCCAAAGTGCAACAATCCCAAACTGAAAACTGGCTGTCCTTAGGTGCTTTTATGTATGTCCATTGGTCTCTTGTTGCATGTGCCGAGTGCTCCTTCCAAGAATCAGCTGCAGGGGAAGTCAAATGTGGCCATGGGAGAGCCACAAGATCCATTCCTATCACTGACACTGATTCCTAGCCACCAAAATCACGTGCTTGAATGGTTCTGCACTTCCTTGATGTGCTGTGCCCTGTTGTGCCTGTCAACTTCAGTACCGCATTATCTTGAGGCTCATCCTTGGTTCGTGTTCTTGCTTGTGGGACCATCTGAAGTGGAGCACTGGCTAGCTTGAAACGAAGTTATATTGAAACAATGTTGGGCTCACAAGGAGCAGCAGGCCATGATGTGCATGACAGCTACATTCCTTCTCTCCAGTTGAAATCGTTTGATTTGCTGTTAGTCTCGCTTTGTCTCTTTAGGTGTCGAACAAATTCACAAGAATCCACTCTTCAGACCGAGATGCAGTCGTAAATGACATTCATATTGTGCTGGGCAACATGAGTGGCTCTGTTTACCGGAATGGCTGCCAAGGAGAGAATCTTATTGAAGAAATGGGCGATGGAGTTATTATCGATGTGCAAATGCTGCAAGACTCAACGGGAATGCTGCCAGGCACACGTGCATGCATTGATGTCCCACAGCTTCATGCCAAGGTCACAGATGAGGACTATGCTTTCATTCTGTCAGCAATTATTGATAATTTCTCAGTGGCAACTAAAATTCCTCCGGATGCCTTCAACTTGACAGTCAAAATGTACCCGGAGGCTCTGCAGCTGCAGTTCCAGTCTGCCAGTCTTCAGGAAAGTCAGAGTTTGAACTCTCCGTTGACAAGGATGAGCACACTGAGCAAAGGCAAGGCTAATCTGACACACAAGAAAGCTGTCCGTGATGCCAGTGGGTCTCAGGCTACACAAGCACAAGTCAGGGTTGGGAGTGCCCAATTGACACTCCTGAATGCACAGGTGGGTTTCCCCAACACCCATCCCCCTATACAGGATCTTTGGAAAGGGTACACTGCACATCCTGTCAAAGAACATATAGGGATACAATATCCCCCTGGGGTTTGCTTTTGTTCACCTATTGGAACAGGCAGCCAGCAGGTATGCTTGCCTAGACCTCTTGATTGAATGTTTCACTGCGGCGAGTGGTGGTAAGGTGTTGTGCGATTAACATTTAGATTCAGAAGAACTTCTGCATCATTTTTTGTAGTATATCAAAGAGTCTCACAAAGCTCTTGCTCAGAAATGTGCCCACTTTTCAGTATTTCAGTTTGCAAAGAACTTGTAGTTAGCGATTTCAATGCCTTATAGTGGAATTTCCTTCCAATCAAATTCCTGTGTACAAGCTCGAACAAACTGTTTCATGGTGTGTGATGCCCCCAGGTTTGTTGCAGAACAACTTCAGAGCACTCGCGAGGTTATGTTGCACCCGCTCACCACCTTGGATTTGCAGGTCTTCTGCTGCAGTCCAGTCACTAAGATGGGCTCCATCTCTACCACACCAAAGTCCTTTTAGTTTTATATGCATTTGCACGGTGCAGGGACACAATTGTGGGATACTGACTTGAGGACTGTTTCAGTTCGCTGAAGGTTGCCCTGTGTGTGTGGCAGAGTGCCAGCAGCTCAACACTCCTTGGCAGCATCAGGATGTCAAGTTTCTACTGCAGCTACAAGTCGGATAGCCCCACAAACATGGAAGTTTCTGTCTGCATCCCATCTGTTGAAATGGTGGATCTTCGCCCAGATGCTCCTGAGCTGAATGCGATTGTGCTCTCCAGTGGAGGCTCTGCAGGTGCTACATTCTCTGAAGGCATGACATACTGACCTTGCCTTTGTGTTGCAAGACACAGTGTCATCAGCACACATCTGCTCGCTTTGCATCAAACGCCACAGCATTTGCATCTGCGATGGACTAACATTGAGTTTGTATACAGAAATCATATGAATTGTTGTCTCAGACGTCCCATTCATAATTGGAACTGGAAGGACAAGTTCTCCAGCTGCCTTTAGCTTTTTTGGATACATGGGGGTGTAAAAACCTGCTCTTTTTGTTGTGCTCTCTGAATGTTACAGGAGATCTGCTGTAGCCCTTTCGCTGGTGCTGTGAACATCATACACCAGATTGATATGCAATCCAGTGCACAGGCCCAGTCAGCAACATTCTGTCACATATTCTTTGTTTTCAATGGTCTTTGGTGTCTTGTGATGCCCTTTGCTGTGATTTATTGAAGTACCCATGTTTGGCCAGATGCTTGACAGTGAAAATGTGATCAACATTCACACGCTAGTGCAGTTGTAGTGCAGACTGTAGGCACTTGTTATTGCACAGGCGCATACTTTCAAAGGGCTCGCTGGGCCGTTGTCTTCCCCTCAGAATTTTGTTGTCTTTCCTCTCTAGCTTTTGTTTCCAAGGCAATTGTTGTGTTTTGCCAGGGTGATTGTCACTATTGTGCATACAGAAAATTTGGACTCATGCATATTGGGACCTCCATGTTTATATTGTTTGCTGGTTTTCTCTGCTTGGATGGCTTGCATCGCATCGACTCTTTCAGTGCCCTGGCTGCTGATTATGGGACACTGCACAGGCATTGGCTAGCTCTTGGTTACCTTGGTTTGGCGGTGATGCTGCTGTGGTGACAGAACA